GTAGCACATGGATTGCAGTGTAACAAGTCCGACGGTGTTGCATCTTTAGTACAGACCACGAGCTCCGAAGATGGTCGGGTCTCAGCCCCAGCGGCAGAAGGTGAAAAACTCAACTGCGCACACAGGCACGCGTTTGCTGACAGACAGACAGCCAAGAAGGCAGGCAGGCCGACAGGCAGACAGACAGAAACACACATACGCAAACAAAAGGAAAAGCCATAATTGACAAGGAAAAGCCCCACCACCATGACCACCAACCCACAAGGGACGCAATGACCAAACCAGGATCACAACAGCCAGAAACAACAACAATGACAACTGTGGTGGCCAATCCGATGCACGGTAAGCACGCAGCAAGCGTCAAAGCAAAGAACGCGCAAATAGTTCTGTTCGGTTGCATCTCGTGCAATACGAGACGATGACGATGACGATGACTGTTCATGTTCCATCCCCCAAACCCTCAGCTCAACCTGTCCCGTCGCAAAACCAGGGGTGAGGGAGCGAACAGGCGGTTTGCAGGAGAAACGTGCAGCATTGTCGGATAGTAAGGACGGCTCCGACTCGCTCGCTTCTGCGAAGCGCATACCATGCACTGTCTCAGACAGCTTGCCCGGGATTGTCCTGGCACAGGGAAAACATCCGACGAACCTGCGGCAGGACCCGTTTACATGTTTTCAGCACTCACTCTCGGACATGCCTAGGCGAGGTTCCTGGTACAGGGGCGAAAGTACATTGGCTTAGGATCGGCACGTGTCACCGACCACATGGCATTAACACAAGGCCCAGCTCATGCTTTAGGGGGCAGAGCCCGGCATGGTTCTACAGTGCGGCCAACAGGCCAGCCGCACCCGCTGTAGCCTGGAATTCGCGACGGCACCTGCCACCAGCGCAACAGTTTGGGAGAGTTTGGGCTGAGCTTTCGAACTCGTGCCCTCGACTTGGCTTTTGATGCTTCGCTGTGCCAAGTGAAAGGATGGTTCTCAGAACCTGCTCCCACTCGGGCTTGCGTTCGCAAGGCACCCGATTTTGACCGGCCGAGACCTCTCTAAACCCAACACAAGCACCCGCCTCCAGCCCCTTGCCAGTCCCCAGCGCCTTGGCCCAGTTCTCCAATCTCTTCGAAGAACCCGGCAAGCTACCAGCAGTGGGGGCAGCACAGGATCGTGGTTCACCGCTCGGAACGGCTCCGACCATGTCCTTCGCATAGACCTGGCGCCGGCCCGGGGAAAAGTGGAACAAGCTGGAAACAAAGCCCGGCCTCAGAGGAAGAGACTGCGTCGCCAGGTGATTCTCGGACCCAAACGTGCCTCCATGGAGGTTCTCGGAAACCTTTCTGGGCAGGAGTCCAGAGTCTAGCTTGAGGCAAGGCGGCAAGGCACTGCGTGACCATTCGGTGGGGCCTTTCCAGCTATGTGCCCGCGGTAGCCAGGAATTGCAATCGCCTGCATAGGCAGAGGCCTCCAGAGAGCACAAAAAAAACAGCAAAAATGAGCTGAGACTGAGCGAGCCATAAGGAAGGCCTGCAAGCCCTCGTGGCCGACAGGTTCCCCGTTCGGTCTAGCACCTGTGATGTGCCGCGGGCACCAACAGCCCGAAAGCCGAGGAGGTGACAAGCTTTGGCGCGTACTTCGATGGCCCTGCGATCGCCGCTTCTGATGAAGGCGGGCCTTTAGCAGCGCCACTGTCAAAGCTAGAGTCTAGAGCTGATAACACACAGGCAATGGATGCACATTGCTTCGCCATCATCAACTCTTGCGGAAAGCCTGGTTCTGAGCAAACTGTGCCACGGACGTGCTGCTCACATTGTGCGAGTGCGGATATTGCCTCCGGACAGATAACCAGAAAACAAGCTGCAGGCTCGATCCTGCCACGGATGGGATTGCACGTCACACTTGGCCTGAGAGTCTCGGAGATGAGGCCGCTGTACTTTTTACCAGAATCGAGGCCGCAAACGCCTGCGCAATGTCGATGTGCGGACCGCGCTACAGTCCAGGATAGAAAACTTCTTGATCACCAGATTCCTCTTGTGCTGGATATTTTTACGAGAAAAGGCTTGAATAGGCGGACTTGTCTTCCTGCAAGCAAATTGGTCGAAGCTGTCTTGGGGGTACTGACCTTGGATCTCACCTTGAGGCTGCGAGTGCAATTCCATACTCCATTTTGCAAGCCTGCCCTTGGAAACCGTTAGAAAAGACTCTACAAGCCGATGCATGCCCAATTGACAGTCCCTCTGCGTAGGAAACGCAGGCAATGCAAATTACAGGACAACAAACAAAAACATAAATTTCAGCATGCATTGCAGTTTTGGCATGTTTGGGCGCAGCAGTAGTTCTCTCGTGTTAACCTCATGTCACCTTGACTGCCCGGCGGTGCTATTTCACTCTGTGGGGCATTGCAGGTCGGCTTTATTGAGGCTCTAAGTCCGTGCGGGCTGGCAGATGCTGGCCGCCCGCAGCGACTCGGAGGCTTTGTTGAGGCTTTAAACCCGTGCGAACTAACAACCCACAGAGACTCGGAGGCTTTGTTGGGGCTTTAAAGCCAGGCAGCCCACAGCGACTCGGAGGCTTTGTTGGAGCTTTAAATCCCTGCGGGCTGGCAGCCCGCAGCGACTCGGAAGCTTTGTTGAGGCTGTCAAGCCGTGCGGGCTGGCAGCCCACAGCGACTCGGAGGCTTTGTTGGGGCTATAAAGCCCTGCGGGCTGGCCGCCCGCAGCGACTCGGAGGCTTTGTTGAAGCTTTAAAGCCCTGCGGGCTGGCAGCCCGCAGCGAATCGGAAGCTTTGTTGAGGCTTTAAAGCCGTGCGGGCTGGCAGCCCAC